GTGTGTGGGTCTTTTTGTCTCTGGGGATCTTCCCACAAAGTGGCTGTGGCTCAAAATTGAGGAGCTGGGGTTCCGAGGGGGCCATTTTGGTACATTTATTTCAGCCACAGCCAAGTGACTTCCCCCCCCCCCCCCCCGTTTTTCCGGGGGTCGTGCTTTGGGTCCTCTTTTGTTGAGGAAAAACTACAGGAAGGTACGTACAACTACAGCTGGTTGTTTGGGTCGTTGGGTCCTTGTTTCGAGGGCGAGAAGTCTGTATGGCTATTGGGTTGGATCTTTAGACCTTAACTTTTTGGAACACTGGGTTTTCCATTGAACCCAACAGCAAGTTAACCTTACAGAGGGGCCAACAGCAACCAAGTGTTCTGAGGGTCGTTCTGTGGGTCCTCTCTTGAGGGCAAGAAGCGTGTGGTGTTTTTTGTGTTGAAAGAACAACTACAGGAAGACGCCCTTTTTTGGGGTTGCCCGATGTGTCAAAAGAGGGGGACCCCTCGAAATTTGGGTATCCTATGGTTTCTCTCTAAACCAAGGTGACAATGGTACCTGCAAAAGACTCGCAGACGCATATCAATGTAGCATGGGGGTGTGCTGTTTGCGGTTATTCATGGTGAATTTGAGGAACACACCCCTTTAAAGGGGTCCAAATCCAAGTCTTGACAAAAACACACCAAGCGCTTGTCTCCCAACCATAAAACTGGAGTCACCCCCCAAAGTCGGTTACTGTGAAACAACTGACTGTGGTAACCCTCCCCCCAAATTAAATGGAAACAAAGAAGAAGCAAGTCAATCATTTGGAGTGAGTGAAACATCACCTGGGCCTAGGAGTTTGTGCAGCTTATGTGCATGTCCTTTGTACAAGAATCGCTGGTGAAAGGGAAGCTAACCAGGGGTGAGGAGATTTCCCGTGGTGGTTGATTCTCTTTAAAGCAGGGATGTGGCTTGTCGTGAAGGAGTTTCACTTGCGGAAGGGGAGGGCGTGCAATCCCGCCCTCTTGAGTGGTGTTAAAGCAAGCTAAAAGGAAGCCACGCACTTGGCGTGGCGTATTTTGGCAACTCCCAGATCAAAAGTCCCTCCAAAAAACCTGAGGGAGGGAATGTGAATGGTTCAACACGAGGTGTGCGCTTCTGGATTCGCACTGTGCAAGCAGGGCTCGAAAGCTGCGGTCTCCTTTGTTGAAGTGTCGACATCTTGACCGGGGGATCCGCAGAGGCTTAAGTGCGGAGGTGTTTGTTGCATGATCCAAACATGGGGTGTCGAAATGGGGGGCAGTTGTCCGTTTTGGTTGTTCTTCGTTGCATTCATTCCCTAAGTCCCAACACGTAGAACCTGAAAACAGGGCGGCCGGTGCTCTCAGCGACTTGCTCCATGTGCTAAGGATGGGTGTGTGCCCCAGCACGGTCTCTTATGGCACGGCCATGTTGGCCAGCAATCGCCTGGGGCGTTGGGAGGCAGGGCTTAGTTGGGGGCAGAGGCCATTGCTTGGGCTTGGATGCTTGAGTTGGGTGCTGTGCGAGGCTTGAGTTGGTCAGCTTTGTTTGTGTAAGCTTTGCACCTTCAGACTTCATGGCAAGCGTCCGGATGACAGCAGCTGCATGAGCAGCCCTCGTTTTGCCGTAGCGTGGTCTCTATTCAATGGAGAGAGCGTAGTACTTGTAGCGATGCTCATGGAATCATTGCATGCCTAAAAAACCCTCTATCTTGAGGCTTACCCTGGCAAAGCTCCAGCCAACACGCGGTGGTTAGAGAGAGAGAGAGAGAGAGTCTGTAGGAGACCATCTCGCTGCTGCAAGAGCTTCGCAGCCGCTCGGAGAAGAGTCAGAAAGTTCCACGCATCCCTTATGTGTGTGTGTGTGAGTCTGTGGAAGAGGTTCCGAAAAAAATGCTCTGAGGACAGTATGGAGGTCTCGTTTGGGGATTGTTTGAATTTGAGTGTGGTGTGAATGTCATCGGGTTGTTTGTGTTTTCTCGTCGGCGCTATTCACCCAAATCACTTTAAGGTAGGTGGATCCAAGGGATTTTCACTGAACATATGGAAGCAATGTAGCATTGAACACATTGACACGGCTCTCCCGACCTTTCAAGGGACCACCCGCGTTGTCCCCTGGAAAATGGACAAGCTCGAAAGCTGGCCCCAGACAAATGCGACACAAACCATGCTTTGCCAGGCCAAACCGCGCCTCTTCAACTTGAAGCTAAGGCCACCCTTGGTGCGATAGCCAAAACATGAAAAATGAAATGCCTCTTACAAACTCTTTTTAACTGGTGGTTTCCTTTCGGGAATCCCGAAAAACATCATTCCATCTCATTCCCTTGAGCTCTAGCTGGTGGTTTCCTATCGGGACTCCCAAAACGGGACTCATTTTCCATCTGCGGATCGCACCGATCGCAAGCGGTCGGATGAGGCAGCGGCCAGGCACCCGACGCCGGGTGTTTGCACGCCGCCTGCTTTGCCGCGGACCAGGCGAGTGAGCGAGCCAGTGACGGCAGCCAGGGGTTCGCTTGGAGCATGGCTCAAATGGCTGTGGTTGTCAAAGCCGTTTTGGGATCCCATTTTGGGGTAGGTGAATTCACCTCCCATTTTAGAACCTATTTTAGTGGGGATTGGGATGTTCACTGGGGGTACGGGATTTTGACCCATGGCCAAATGGGCAGCCTTGAAACATCATTTTGCCGCTGTATTTGGATGCGTGTTCGTGTGGCTGCGTTTTCGCGTTGAAACACCCGTATTGATTCCTTTTCACACAAATCGGCATACAGACAGCGGAGTCTAGCAGAATTGAGCTTGGCAACATTCAAAGTCAGCATGCCTGTTTGCACCACGTGCTTGCGGCTTGCCTTTTGGCAGGCGAAGATGTTCGAGCTGAAGAAAAGCCTGACAGCGGAGCTGAAGCAGACCGGACCCAGCAGTTCTTTCGGCAGGCAAGCGGCAAGCGGGACGCGACGACAGTTCGGGCCTCCAAGCAATGTGTCCTTTGCCTTCCATAGAGAACCCATGGCATCCACAGTTTCAAGTGATTGAGCGGATTCGGTGGACAGGCGTCAGGATCTGGCCGCGCGCAGGTCTCAGACATCTCGGCCGGAGCCTTCTCCCAAAGAGTCCGCAGATGCGGGGGACTTGTCCAGGCAAGGAACATATGCAAGCACGGGAACGATGGGAGAGCTAATCTTTGCCGATTCTCAACAGAAGCTGATGTGTGGTGAATTGAAGCGTACAGATGGCCAGGGGTCAAAAGCCCGTACCCCCAGTGAACATCCCAATCCCCACTAAAATAGGTTCTAAAATGGGTGGTGAATTCACCTACCCCAAAATGGGATCCCAAAACGGCTTTGACAACCACAGCCAGATGAGTCTCACCGCCCAGACTTGTAAAGATGCCCTCACAGGCTGGCAGCAGCTGGGCAGTGGCAAGAGGCATTGCAGCTGTTGGAAAGCGGCCTGGTGCCAGATTTGCAGAGCCTGGAGGCGCGTCATTCAGTTCCGAGGGATTCCCATAGGGAACAAGGCGACCGGCATCATTTGCCCTTCATGTACCTGGGCATCAGGGACTTTTGAACCGGGGCCATGTTGCAGCAACAGCCATGGAGCCCCTAGAGCCCTCGTGTTGACCCCTTTTTTGTTGGGTTCGGCAGGGGCATTGGCTTGTTCTCCTCCGTGTTGACGGGATCGAGGCCTTGGCGACGGCGCTGGCGCATGCTGACCGCTCTGACTTGGCGCTGAGCTTGTTGGAAGCCTTTGCGGAGCAAAGACCGAGTGCCCGCTGCCTTTTGGGATGAACTCAAACCAACACCAACAAATGGACTCAAACCGCCGAGTGCCCGTTCCCACTGCCTTTTGGAAAGCAACACCCAAAAAATGGGACAAGAGGGAAAGGCACCGATTTTCAAAGAGATGGGGATTCGGACTGTCGTTTGCATAAGTCGTGAGAGAGAGGGAGGCTGTCGAATATTGTATTAAAGATCTTGGGACTGCCTGTCTGGCTAGCGTGGCTGTTTCGCACTACAACATTACAACCACTCCCTGGCGACAGCATAGCCGCTGCTCAAACAGCCATAGCATCGATCATGATGATGATGATGGTGGTGATGATCATCATGATGATGTGATGATGATGATGATGATGATGATGATGATGATGATGATGATGATGATGATGATGATGATGATGATGATGATGATGATGATGATGATGATGATGATGATGATCTTTGGATGTTTCGTTCGGGTGCTGTGAACGCCCCGTTGATGTCCGCACTGAAGACGGACACGACACGCCAATTGCAGTGCACCATAAAGCCTTCTTGTTGAATGCAACGCTTGCCCACAGGTCACACACACAGGTGTGGTACAATTCCAAATATCACCTTTTAAAGGAGCAAGCAACCCCTTGGTGAATTAAAGTATGTACTTATTCTGAAATCCCGCATGCTGGCACTGGAGATGTGCTTGACACAAAAGGTCAACACAACTTTCTTAGCATTATGACTCCGAATGCCAGTTTGCGCAGGCGTTGGATTTGCGTTGCAGCGTTGGTGCAGCGATCCGATGCTGTGGGTGATTTCTCCCAGCGAACCGGCCAGGCGGTCAATTCGCGGCTGGCAAATGAGAGCGCTAGCAAGATCTGTCTCACATCGGACCTTTAAGATATTACCCCTTCCACTGAGTCAGCCCACACGTCGGCCGTCGGGCGCCTGCGGAGAGTTCAGTTGCCAGTTTGGACATATACATTGCGCAGATGTCCAGCAGTTGATCACAGAGGCCAAGTCATATTTCCCGAGTTGAACGTTTCGCGAGCATCAAGTGGGATGTGAGTCACTCAAACGGCAATCTTTGCAACTGGAAGGAGGTCATAGATCAGTTGTAGCTACGCCAGCAAAGAAAGTCTCGATTGTGCTGCAGCTTAATGCACCCAGCGAGAAAGCTTAGTGTTGATTACTTGAGCAACACTCCAGCCCGTGCAAATGTTGCCAAAGCTTTCAGAGCAAACTGAGACTTGCACAGGCCCGGCTGGTCGAGTCGAAGCAGGAGGCAGAGGCCTGCTAAGATTCGTGCAAGAGGTTGTCCGATGCTTGTTGATAAATGCAAGCCTTGGAAGATTGTCAGCAGACAACAGGCAGACTAGGCTTTCCAACATGTTACGTGCGGGGCCAGGGTGTAACATGCCTCAAAAGTTGCGTAGCCCCTTGGCTGAACGGAGGGAGCTTCTAGCCACTTGATTCACATGTTGCGCACTTGGTTCATGTCTCCGGTCGTGCTTGAGTGTCCTGCTCCGGCAAGGCTCAATCAACTGGAAACGCAAATCTTGGCCCCATGCTACCCAGTTCTACGCCAAGTGATTTTGTGAGCGATCATCTATTTCAGGCAGGTTAAGCGTTGCGGGGGACAGATTACCTAGAAAAAATGGCAGGGTGAGGATGGAAAGGTGACAGCCACTGAGGCAACCTTTGAACAATTGGGAGTGCGCCTTTTGAGGGTAGCCTTTTTGCGGTGGTTTTAAAGGGACAGCAAAAGGAACAGTAGCCACAATCAAAACCCGGGTAGATGAAGGCTAGTAAGGGACAAAGTAAGGGACAATCCCCCTTGCCATCAATAGCTGCGGATATCTGGCTTCTGAATTCTTGAAGCATGGTTCTGGGTAGACCATTTTAGTACCGGGATTTGATTGTGACTCATTTTTTGTTTTTTTTCAGGGTAGTTTTTTTGCGGTGGTTTTTAAAGGGACACCAAGAGGAACATGTTTGGAGCCCAACTCCTTGTGACACCTTCCCGATTCCTACGAGCCAGGAGCTTCTGCCCGAGCTGCTGGCGGCGCGAGTGCTGGGTGTGGAGGCTGAGACCGTTGGGGGAGTTCAGACGCGCGACGCGAGGCTGGTCTGTCTCAAAATGGCGGTGCGTCAAAACCAATGGTGGGATTGGGATGTTCCCTGGGGGTACGATTTGGATTTTGAGCCATGGCCAAATAGGTATGGGTCGAATTAAACCACCAGGATATGGACCGCAGGTTAAATCGTCCGAACCATTTACCGATCGGGTTCCATTTTGGGTACTTATTTTTGACCCACAGCCAAATAGGGGCCGCTCAAAACAGACAAACCCAGTTCACAGGTTTGTCAGCTGCACAAGAACTCAGCAGATATTCTCATTTGGGCAAACACACATCCCGAAGCTTATCCCTTTTTTGGCAGTATGGAAAATCGTCTTGATCTGTGTCTGTTGTGCGGAACTTGCAATTTGAGTTGCCGATTCTCGCTGTGTTTCCTGACTGATTGCGGCCATCAGCCCGCAAAAACCAAGAGGAATCAGCCCGGTGTGGGCCACCAGAAAGGCGAGTTTTCATTGGCAGATCAATGGACGCCCGGGGCGCTGGCTCTTCGCTTCCCAAACTGAGATGCTTGTGCCGTGGTTTTGAGCGGTTCCCGGTTTGGAGGTTGTTTGTAAGGGACACCAAAGGGGCACCGCCCATGTTGGGTCGGCATTGCAAGGGGACCAAATATATGTCAAAATAGGGGCTTGGACTCCAAATTGACATGTTCTCTTGGTTGTTCTTGGGTTCGGACTCCAAATCAAATCCTCAAATCCTTTCCTTCAAGTTGTTCCTTTTGGGAACCACCAAAGAAAAACCCGCCCCGCGCTCCTTTCCCGCCCCCCTCGCTCGCGAGAGACGCTTGAGGCCTGGACTGCGAAGGCGTGGCGCTTGGCCGCTGGGGACGGCTCTGCCTCTGCCAGGCGCCCGTGCGAGCGGGCGAGCGGGCGAGCGAGGGCCGTGTCGGCTTGTCTCGGGGTGGGGAGGGGCGCCAATTCTGCGGCCGGTTTGATTTGTTTTTTTTGTTTTTGCGGGCTTTCTGTTAGGCGCAAAGAGCTTGTTGAGGGACATGTCCTTTTTCAGACTGGCCCCTAACGAAAAGTAAGTTGGGGGACAAAATGCATAGTCCCCTCAGACTTCCTCTTGCCTTTTTTTTTGCGAGTTGGTCCCAAAGAAAAGGGCCAAAGCACCCTGGTCTGTTGTACAGTAGTTGAGTGTCCGAAGCTGAAGACTGATCGCTGCCCCTCACAGAGGAGCATGGGCCTTGCAAGGATCAGAAGAAACTACAAGAAAACTCGAAAGACAGGCACTAGAGGGACGGAGGCCTATAATCGGCATCAACTTAGCTCAGAGGTCTTTGCCAGCCAACAAATGTTTGCCCTCTTCCAAGCATGGATCGGAAAAAACATGATTCTGGGAAAGGTCCAACAGAGAAGCTCCGCCGTTGGCACGTTTAATAGATGCCCAAAAAGAAACTGCATTTGTTTGGAGCACCCCAAACCTTTTGACACAGAGCTACATCAGTGTGTCTTAAAATAGGGGGCCCAAAAATGGGCGACCCACAAGTGTACACGGCAAAGACTCTTCCCGCCCCCCTGATCTGCTGCTTCTGCGCCAGGTGGCAACTCCTCAGCAGGCACAATGACTTTGCAGCGCACAAGCCAGGGTGAATGAATATGAACATGAACCCCTGTGTACTCCAAAGGAGCATCCCTTCACTACTCAGTTGGAATCTTGTCAAACAAGGGCAATGCTTCCCAGCTGAGTCACCTTCAAAGCACATGTCGCGGGCAAATCGATGCTGTTTGGTGGTAGCTCAGCTGCGCTCGCTCCAAGTAGCCCGCCAAGAAAGTGCGGTCTTCTCGTCAGCACAATGGAAATTGGCAAAGTGCCTTGGTCACTATAGCCGTGTCGCGGCGTGGCAGGGGTTTCAGCACTGGTTGTGTGTGTGTTGTGATTTCGTTTGGTTGTGTATTTGCGTCTTGTGTTTGTGTATTTGTGCTGAGTCTTTGCTTCCACAGATTTGTGATCGAGTGTCTGTGTGACTGTGCGGGCTGTGCGTCTCTGTGTCTCTGTGTCTCTGTGTCTCTGTGTCTGTGGTGGTTTGCATCTCGGTAGGCAAGTCGGATCCTTGCGACGGAAGGAAGCAGATTCTGTGCACAAGTTGGACTATGCCTTTGGCTCCTTGATAGGAAAATCGCCCGGTTCTAAGCTTGAAGCGCTTGTAGTGGATTTATGTGATCATAGTGAGCACATCCAATGAGATGATTGCTTGTTTCTACGTTTCCAGAAATCCCGGGCGAATCGCTGTTGCATGCTAGGCGGAGTCATGTTGGAATTCCTGCCGCTTTTGCCCAACAGGATGAATTTGAAGGTTGGTCTAAGCTGGTGGCTTGCATTTGCCAGGTGGCCATTAATTAGCATGTCCATTTCCGGACACCCGATGTTGATCCTTGTCCAGTCTGTTTGTGGAACCTTTCTGGTTTTGAGGTGCCGTTTCGACAAATGTGTGAGACTCCGCTGGACAAAGCGTAAAGAGATGGCCCATGTTGGCACAGAAAGGCACCTTTTCCACTTTCCCCTGAGACCAACCCTCCAGAAATGAGAGGTCCCATTTGGGTACGGGTCAAAACAAAACCACCAGGATATGGACCGCAGGTTTTAGTCTTTGGTCCCATTTACCGATAAGGCTCCATCTGGGGTACGCATTTTTGTCCCACAGCCATTTCAGACACAACTTGGTTTTCCACGACCACTGGTTTGCCCCTCTGTCCCGACAGCTCAGGTGGTGCTCCGTGACCGGCCGGTGGAGCGTATGAGGTCGGATTCCAAGCTGGAGCCGCAGCCTCCTTCTACGCCCCCCACCCGCAGGCGCATCACGATCTGTGATCTCCTTGGCATTTGGACAGCGCCACTTTAGTTACTCAGCTTCATCTTCCGCCCGAGGCCCACCTTGAAGCGCCGGCATAGCTGGAGGTCCAACCTCCGCGGGGCTCCGATTTGGAAGGAGCCGGCGACGGTGGTTCCAGAGGCCAGGATGAGACGAATCAGTCCTTGCGTTCTTTTAACCGCTTGGAATCAAACTTTGCATTATTTCCAGGCATCCTTCTTTCTAGGAAACCGCCCAACACCCTAGGGAAACAGCTGTTTTTGGAAAGAACGATGGTTGAAAAGAACGGGGAAGAAAGCCCCTAGAATAAAGGATATTCCCTGAAACGGAATGATTGAACGGGACATGTATAGTATCGGGCTAGCAGTTAGAATATATTTTTTAGAGTAAATGAAAATGCACATTTCAAAAGTCTATCAAAAAATGAGTTAGAATAAATAGAAAAAACGTCACTTAGAATAAAAAAAGAAGAAACAGATAAAATATTTCAACCAAAAAGAAGACAACAGATAGAATATGTCAAAATAAGAAAACAACAGATAGAATATTTCAAAATAAGAAAACAACAGATATAATATTTCAAAATAGGGGTTTCTGCTATGAACAACTACTCTGCGATAAATGTCCTAGCTGCTAGCCCGTTGCTAGATGTTTCTATATATATATATACTCATAGAATCACTGCTAAGAGTCCGCAAAAGGGGTCCCCCAACAGTTAAGCGCCTAAAAGCAGCAAAACTGCACATTGAGTGTGGGGGGGTAAACATTGGGAACCCACGACTGGATCCTATGATTGAGTGGGGGTTGGTATACCCTGGGACACCTAATTTAAAGGTTTTTCGTGGAATTTGGGCAACACCTTCAAATTAGGATGTGTTTTGGAGTATTTGAGCAGCATTTGAGCAGCAAATAGCGTTTTGTGGGACCCAAATAGCACTTCTTGTTCGGCCTCAAAGCCGAGCCTGAGTGAATTCAGTCAAGTACTCAGTTAAGACGATCTCCGCCATGGCCACAAACCGGCTGTTGTGTGTTTGGCGCCAAGCGGGTCGTTTCTCATTTCTCACTAGCAATGCTTCATGAACGTCTGAGACATCTGCTTTTATTATTCACTTCTTCTTCCTTGACCCCATGCATCTGCGCGGCTCGATGAATCAAACGTTTCGACGCCATCAACTGGTCAATCTGTGTGAAATTGCCTTGTGACCCAGCTTGCTGAAACATTCTGTCTGTCAAAACATATTCTATCTGAATTATTCTAAGTGTATGCTATCTGAATTATTCTAAGTGTCACTTGTGAACCTAAATATTCTAACTGATGTTTTTGGATATTTTCGGAGTAAAATATATTCTAAGTGCAGATCGGACGGAGTAAAATATATTCTAAGTGCTAGCCCGATACTATAGCGACTTGAGGGATTTGAGGCATCGTACAGGACCTCAGCAATGAGCATCCATGCATGCAACGGGTTATATTCACTCATCGACTGCCCAGATGCTGGCAACGAATCACTTCAATGATGAGTTTCAAGCAGCCCTGCGCAGCATCGCCGAGTTTCCTTCTTGGAGATAACTCCACATGGCTATGGGTCAAAATCCAAATCGTACCCCCAGTGAACATCCCAATCCCCACTAAAATAGGTTCTAAAATGGGTGGTGCGCCTACCCCAAATGGTACCATTGGTTTTGACCCACAGCCACATTTTCCCAGCATAGGTGCCGTTTTTCTCACAAGCCAACGTGCTGCATGACCGAAGCTTGGCAGAGGGCAGTTTTCACTGCGCAGGCGCCGGCGCCCAAGGAAGCTGTGCCGCGGCAACGGCAGGCAGCACGGACGGGCGGACTTCCAATTGAGGATCTGTACGAAGAGGATCCATTTGGTGATGTCCAATTGGTGTTGGATGGAAAGGGTAGGGTGGCACCCACTGAGGCAACCTTTGAACAATTGGGAGTGTGTCTTCCGAGGGTAGCCTTGTTGCGTTGGTTTTTAGAGGGACAGCAAAAGGAACATTTGAGTCACAATCAAAACCAGGGTAGATGACTCGGTTAGGAAGGGACAATCCCCTTGCCATAAATAGCTGAGAATATCCGGCTTCTGAGTTCTTGAAGCATGGTTCTGGGTCAACCATTTTAATACCGGGTTTTGATTGTGGCTCATTTGGTGATTTCCAATTGGTATTTTCCAAGAATCTTGCTAAGAAGGGCTGGTGATTTCCAGTTTCCATTTTTGTTTCAGCTTGTTTCACAAAGAGTCGACAAAGGCAGCTCGCGCTGCAAGGATCAGATGCTTGATGTTTTGTGTCAGCGACCTATCAACAGGAGATAGGCGGTCATACAACTCGGAGTTCTCCAGAGTGAAAGACGTGCTTGTTGGCTCTAGGCTGACAGCGGCTTACACTAAAAGCGCTCGATGCAATGTAGGTGGCTGAGCTATGTTTCCAGGCGAAGCATCGGCAAGTTCTGAACGAGGCAGCTGACTACCACAAGGCGGACTGGCCGTTGAGGTGATTCCTGTTTCCTCGCGGCTACTACCCTTCCTCCAACTCCTGTAGGGAGGTACCTGGAAGTTAATTGTAAACGCTTCGCGTTGCCCGCCTCGGCCCAGCCTAGTTTGAGGGAAGGGTCAGGAACACCGAAATCCAGTGTTGGGAAGGTCCGAATACCTGAAGCTGGCTTCAGACAAGTCAGACAAGCCGGCCTCGCCTGGTTGGGCTGGGCCACAGGCCAGTCTCAGACACATCAGATAAGCCTGCGCTGGGCCTGAAGCTAGTCTCGGGCAGCTTGGCTGGACCTTGCTTGCGTGGGTTGTTGGTTGAGCTGAAGCTAGTTTACGGCGGGCTGGGCAGCCGCACTGAGGGGGCTGGGCTATGGCTGGGCCAGTTTCAGACACGTCAGACAGGCCTGGCCAGCAGGCGGACTGGGGCTGGGCTAGACGCTAGTTGAGCCCAGGCTGGTGAGGCCCAGTCTCGGCGCTAGATAGCCTGCGAGTCTCAAACCGGGTGGGCTTGGGTGGGGTTGGCTTAGGTAGTCTCAGCCACGAGGCTGCGAAGCCATGGGTGGTGCTGGGCAGCTGGATTATGGTGTTGGTTGCGCCTGGAACTTCGGCTGGCTGGGCTGAGCTGTGCTTGGGCGGGTCGCTGGATGGGCTGAGGCTGGGTAGCGAGTTGCTGGCCAGGCCGGGCCTCAGCCCAGTCGCAGACACGTAAGACACGCCAGCAGGCGGGCTGAGGGACTGGGCCTGAGGCTAGTCTCAGGCTGGCATACCTTGAGACCAGTCTCAGACTGCGCTGAAGGGGCCTGGTCAGCCTGGGCTGCTGAGTAGCTGGCATAGCTTGAGACCAGTCTCAGACTGGTCGTTGGCCTGAGGCCAGTCTCAGACACGTTAGACAAACCACACTGGGCTGAGCCTGCTGGTCTGGGAGTTGGGGGCTGGTAGTGGCTGGCATGCTCTGAGATGCGCTGGGGCCTGGGCTGGGCAGGCTTTTGGGCTGGGCCTGAAGCTAGTCTCACACAAGGCTGCGAAGCCATGGGTGGGTTGCTGGCTGCCGGGCAGCCGGACCAGGCTGCTGGTTGTGCCTGGAACTTGGGCTGGGCGGGCTGGGCTGAGCTGTGCTTGGGCGGGTTGCTGGATGGGCAAGGCCTGTTTCATACACACTTGGGCCTGAGGCTGGGTGGCGAGTTGGCTGGGCTGGGCCTGAGGCCAGTCGCAGACACGCCACACTTTGAGACGGGGCCTGCTGGCTGATTTG